CGACATGCCTAGCTTTCGACCTCCCATCAACTTCACTGTGAGCGCTAGCTGTTGTTGAAAGACACCACAAGGAAATCCTTGTATCAGTCAGTAAGCAAAATATCTTCATGAAATGCATGATCAGCTCTGGCAGTCGTACCGTGGAACACGCTGCTTACCGCCTATTGTTTAGTGTGACATTTTAACGTGTCCCTGTTTTCCCTTAAGGTCACCGTTTTCCCATTTTGGGTCACATATAGAGAATATTTCGTTAAATTTTGGACTGACTGTGTGTATTCTGATCGGTGAAATAATTTTCTGAAATAATTTGTCTGTTTGGCCGAAAAACTTGACCGAAAAACCTTCACCCAAATATACTGGCTACATTGTTTGCGTCATTCTCCTCTAACGGAATTGATTTTAAAAACAGAGGTTAAAATAAACATATATTTGAATGAAAGTTTGGTTACCACCTATTGAGCAAAGTTTCTAAAAGCTTTCTAAAAGCTGATTGTCTAGAAGCTAAGACGAAAGGTACGATTCCCTATTCTATTCTAGTTACCTTGGCTAACCTTTCGATTTCTGAGAATCCTGCGATTTCAAGTTTGCCATCCGATTTATCCGATCGTGTGTGTTGAACTTTAAATAATTAACAGAAAAATGGCGCCCTTAGTGTAATTACTAACAGTAGATAGCCAGAGTTTTTATGTATTTAAGTAAATATCTGTTGCGCCTCAAGAAAATGGAGCCTTGGTTGCCTTCAGGCACAAGGTGAATAGATAGCACCATAATATCATGTTACCCAAATGTGAAATAATTGATGGGATCTCCGAGAGCCTACCTATCAGGTTATGCTTGCTTGAAATCTCAAGATCAAGATGTTTGCATAACATAAACAGAATAAAATTAAGAGATGGGAGCCAACACTGGAAAGAAAACAGAAAATAGGCGAGTAAGCGCTATTCAAGACTTTTAATAATTTGCGTAGCTCTGTGGGAATTGAAATACGGTCTTCATTCATTTTCTCGTGCTTTTAATTATTTATTCCCACAAGTAAGCCATGAAAAAAACCAAACTCAACTGAAGTTCACCTTTAAAAATCTATTTCATATGCTTTCAAAGGCTGTGCGTTCTGCATTAAAAAACCTGTGTCTAAAATATTTGTCTTAGAGGGATATTATCTACAATCGTTTTCTAGCAAGATCGCTGTCATCAAAAATTAATGAACCCTTCTCTCGTTGCAAAGAGTGAATTATCTTTTCGTGCTAATATTTAGGTTTTGTTGCTATGATATTGCAGTGAGTTGTTAGTTCAGAGTCAGTTTTGGGATTGTTGGGTCTGGAACAGATCAATTTTAAGATTGAACACAAAAAAAACTCATCATCAAAAGAAAAGTATACCCAGAGTTAGAAAATTTTTATATTCATATTCCATGATATTCCTTAATGTTACAAGACAATAGTATACAAAGAGACAACAAAACGCTGGGAGCTCGAAAATAAGTACACACCAGAAAATCGCATTGAATCTAATGGCAAGAAACGCAGTACTAGTTTAATCGTGACAGACTGATCCAGATAAAGGAAGACTTGCAATGCTGAACCACAGCAAGGATAGTCCACTTCGCAAAGTAAATCTTCTTCCATAGAGATGGAGAATTCATTGTGGGCTATTTCGATGTTGTGTCTCTTTTTTGCTTCGAGTGGAGGTAATAAACATATTCTATAATGAAACTTGTTCAAGTTTACCTTACGAGTAAAGTGAGAAAAAAAAAGTAGTGACCTCTGTCCAATTCATTATAGTCGCCCAGTATCTTAATTCCGCTTTTCTTAAGTATCTATTTATTTTTATGATTACAGGCTTAAATTCATTTTAACCTCCGCTCTACATTCTCTTAAATTGCCAACTTTTTGTATCACGATAAAAACCACATAACAAACCCAAAGAGTTCAAAATATAACAGCCTGGTTCGAAATCGAATAGAATATTGATTTGTTTGCTTTTACAAAATTTACAACTTTTTTTTTCCACAACAGCTTCAAGAAGACCGCAAACCTCTCGCCAACATGTATTCATTAAAAACGAGTTCCATTTCCTCGATGTTCCTGGAGTAGGAAGATCCTCAGTTCTCGATGTCTGTGATTGTACATTCAAATGCCTCTCGAATCCTCGGTGCAATTCTGTTAACGTGGCCGCTAACACGGATACTGCGGGAAAACTTTGGTGCGAGCTTCTATCCTCCGATATCTACAAGAATTCAAATGAGTACAGTGCAAACATGAGTTCACATCATTTTTCTAAGAGTGTGAGTGCTTTCTTCCTATGTACTTTTAATTCAGGAAATTTTAAAGCTTTGCACTGACTTTTCAATCACAATGCTCAGTTTAGGTTTTTTCACTTTAGCGAAGGGTTACAAGTTGTTTCGTACCTGCCGGGTTGTTTCGCACCCAGCTAGGTCAATTCGTATCCATTCCGTTAATTCGTCTCTCCGTCTCATTACAATAGGAGTATGTTAAATTCATTTTGTCGTCCATTTTTAATACGCGACCACCAAAGGAGAAAGATAGAATCACAATAGCCGCCTGATATGTAAGAAAGTCACAGCAGACTGTGCTGTTAAATATATTATTCTTACCTCGTGCTAAGCTGTAAATTAGTTGCACAAGCATAAAACAGATTGTTTTTTTTTTTGTATCTATTTCAAAGTAAAAATTACCGATAAAAAAGCACGACGTTTCGACCTCTCCGAGGTCATTTTCACATGAGTAAAAGTTTCTAAGCTTGCATAAAAATGTAAAAAAAGCTGAAATGCGTACAAATGTGGCGAACGCTAAAATGTGATAAAATGGGTAAGAAAGTGTTAAAAATATTTATGAAGTCAATATAATGGAATGGTAACAAGAAAAACTACTCTAAACAAATAATTTGGTGCGAATTGAATCG